TGTAGTGAAAATTTTCCAGAAAGACTTTATAAGACACACAAATACACACAAAAATATTGATAGCTAGCAGAATCCTTTTTTTTTTTTCTTTTGGTGTTAACAGCAGTGAATTGACTACTTTAACTAAAAGATAAAATAAATCCTTTAGCTGGTGTAATGAGAGGCTTTGTAAAAGCCTTTACAACATGATAATGCTATCTGTGAAACTTTCTCTTAAGTAAGAATAAGGGGCCGGTAAACTTTCTCTTAATTAGATGGGTCCTGCAGAAAGAGTCAGACAGTGATCCGAAATGGATTTCCACAAGAATCTCTTTATTCGGACGCTTCATAAATCGGACGGAGGTCCGCACATAATTCTCACACCGGTTTACAGATTTAGCCGTTACATCTCCAAGTTATGAGTCGTTAGCTGAGCCGAGACCTGTTTACCAACACAAAAAGGCGTATAACCCAGAGTGTCTCTCAACAAGAAGCGTCATGTCAACCTTCTTCTAAAATCACATTGCCAGAGGAGTTCCTCCATTTATGTTAAGTTCCAACTCAAAAACGTCTATTTAGGAGAATTAATGTCATCGGACATCAGCCTGGAATGACGGTCAGCAGCCGGTCTGCTTTGTGAGAGGATTTTGCACCGTAGGTACACATTTAAAAAACTTCTGTCTCCTCCTGAAGTATAAAGACGTGAAGGGCCTCTGCCTGGAACCTGGTGATGGTTTATTTAAATAACTTTAATATCTGAAAGAACTCAAACGACATACGACAGACTGATATTTGACAGAGTAGAATGTCCTGTACAAGACAGAGTCCCTTAGAAAATAAATTGAAATTGTCAAAATTGTCTCTGAGGCACCTCACAGGTGGAGGAGGTGCCAAAACCTGGTCAGTTTGCCTATGGTCCTACGGTGCTTTGGCCACGCCCACCAGTGCCGGCCGCAAGGTGCGGCCGTGAAGCTTGTAGCCCACTTTGGTCACCACGGCGACACTGCCGGGCTCCTTGCCCTCGATGGGGGCGTGGAAGAGCGCCTCGTGCTCGTACGGATCGAACTTCTGGCCTTCCGGGTTGAGCTTGACCAGGCCGTGCTTGGTGAACACCTTCTGGATCTGGATCTCGGTCATCACCAGGCCGTCGTACAGGTTCTTCAAGTGGGGGTTCTGGCTCGTCACCTCCTCTTTGGGCACGCTCTCCGTGGCCTTCTCCAGGATGTCGGCCACCTCCAACAGGTCCTTGCAGAAGCCCTGGATCCCTGGAGAGGAAGAGATCCGGGTTTTCACATGACAACGTTTACAGACGGTCAGTATGTATTTATTATTAATGATAATAAGAAAAAAAATTCATGTCACAGTGGAATGTTCCCAAGTTTGTCAGACAAATGACTATTAAAAATGTAAACAGTGTAAAAAGACTGAATTATAGTAATCCAAACAGCTGAAATACAGATGCCAGTTAAGGGTCCGGCTGAACTTTAGTGACCCCTAGTGGTTAAAGCACGAAACTGCAGACTATTTTATCTATTTCAGACTCAAGATTTCTCTGTAGGTGCTAGAAAAATAGAGCATGTGTGAAAGCAAACAGTTACAAGGCAAAACAACACACACTGACCGTATAATTTCGCATCATCTATCATCCTTTGACTCCTTGTCCTCAGGTTCTCTGTGTCTGCTAAGGCTCTCTTATACTTTTCCTGTTTGAAAAAAAGAAAGAAACCGTCGGTCAGTTTCAAATGGAACAACAAACCGTAGCCAGCCATGAATGTTTTTTAAATATTTGCAGTTTTTGGTGAACTCATGTGGTCTGTAACGTACATCTGACCTGCTGAAGCCCACAGAGAGTGGACACCAGTAGCTGGACGTTTCATTTAAAAAGGATCGAAGAAGAAGAGTTCCCCTTATTCTGCACTGTGTGTGACAACACGGGTGTGACAACACCCATCCTCAGACTTACCGTCATGTCTTTCAGCTGCCCCTCCAGCTGGCTCTTCTCCTCCATCAGGGCTTTCTCCCCCGCGCTGTGCTCCGGCTTTTCCGACTCCTCCGGTCCCGGGCCATTCTTCTGCTGGGTGGCCGTGCACAGCAGTCTTGGAGACACTCTGGGTGAGAGCAGAACAATGGTTTACTTAGCTGAGGCAATGTTAATGTTTCATAGAATTTTTTTTTTCTTTCAATTTTACATCCATATCCAGTGAGATTTTTAATTCTGGGAAAATTAATTCTGAACTACTAATGATGCCGATAGCTGATGGGCCATTTAATATACGTTATAACTTGCTTTCTACTTCCTTTCCTGCCCTCTTCTCACTGTTGAATAACGACAAAAAAATACTTTCAAATATATAAACAAAATGAAAAAAGTGCAACACAAATAAGGCAATACCATTAAAGATTTTTAACAATCATTTATTAAATATAGTAATAACAGGCATTCATAAATATCAAAATATACATTTTTTAAATTTAGTTTGAAGTAGGCCTGTTCTTCTGTAGGATACTGGATAATAAACCATTACATAAACATTTTAATAAATAAATTGATAAATAAGTCAATAAATAAAGAGAGACTCGCTTGTTTAGATTGTTACAAGATTTAGGGTTTAACATTGAACACAGACAAGGTCAATAAAGGCAGCTTAATTAACACTACTTACACTAAGACCGTTACAATACTGTTACAACACAATCAGGTCACCCACAAAATCACCATCTCCGAGCACAAACTACAGCTTTTTGGTTGAAAAAAGTTTTCATAACTCTGTGGCAACTTCTGCCATCATCTGTCTTTGACCAATCACAGAAGGAGAAAATGTGACGTCCGCTTTCCATTCACAGAATCCAGGTTTCAGTCAATATAAGGATACTGTCAAACAAAGCGTCCCTGGGTTGAATTTATTTACAGATACGATGGAGTAATGGTGTTGGAATTCCACATAGAATAGCGCAGTTAGGAGGTTAGCTTACCGCTAACTGTTTCAATCCCTTTGCAAACATAGCATGTTATGTCATCACCCCCTGCCTGTCGCAATGACATGCCAATAATGTCACACACTAACACGGCGGCTAGACTCGGATGCCAGTTAAAACACGGCTAAAACAAAAACACGTGCCTTCCGACGCAAACTATTTTTTTTTCACATAAAGGTCAATAGCGAGGACTGTTACGGCCGGGTGCTAAAGCTAACAGTGCTAGTCGGCTACAACCATGATGAGACAGGGGCCCTTTTTCAAGGCAAAAACACGCATTTCTATTTGAGAACATGTCAAGACTTGAAGTCAACAAAAAAAGACGTTTACCTTAAGGCAGGCGAAGCTATAAGGGGGTAGCTCTGTCGCACGGATCGCACACACCAACTCGCCATTTTCCAAGTGTACAATTCAATTGCTCCTTGCAGCACACGCTGACGGATAGAACTACTCTGATGTTTGGAAACCTGGCGTTTCAACCAATCAGATTCGAGTGTGGAGAAATCCTCCCTCGAACCGCCAATCCGAATGTCAAAGCGTTTGACGTCACTTATAGGTTTGGCTGAGTTGCAGTCAAAGGTGAATGCTACACATGTGACCAAGGACAGTTTTCTCCATACACTCAGCAGGCAGAAGGTTATTCATCCCCTGGTTATTCAACTTTAAGTGTTTTTGGTGCTGGTGTGGTATTGAGGGTTGATGTTAGAAGCCAATGCTTGAGCCGTAACTCTTGTACTATGATAGTACAGGCATCGAGAATTGTAATTGCTGGTGGTTAACTACCTTATCCTAAATAACTTATAACTTACTCTGCTGTGTGTTACTGGATGGAATACACACTTTACAGCAAAGATAAAGAGCTAAAAGCCAAAACACACTTAAAAAGACTTTTTATTGTCAGTTGAGCAAAATCAGTTTATTTATTTTCTTTATTTATTTTTTTATAATTATATATATTTATAGTTATTATATATATTGTTTAAATACCAGTGGGAGGAGCTCTATTATTCAGTTGAAAGAGAATGACATGAAGGCCACTGTAAGACATTGTGATTACTGCCCACTCTCATAGATGGGCAGGCATATGAGATAACACCTAAAGAACCTAATGGCTTGAAATATTGTAAAAAAATAAATAAAGTGAACACATTTAGATAAAATGAAACAGCTAGAGATATGTAGAGATATAGATATGGAGAAGTACCGCACAAGAGGAAATGAAAAAGGTAAGGAATAGCACTGCACTTTACCCTGCAAGGAAGAGTACATAGACATTTTACTAGAGATCCCGTTTTTCAAAAAGAAAAATGCAAATTCTTGCAAGGACACAAGATTTTGACAACATATGAAGTTTAGATTTGTAGTTTTGAACCAAATAGTCCAGCCTGTAGGTCTGGGAATCCTCGATACGTCAAACGCTTTTAAAAAGGCTATAATCTCATTCCATCTGGCAGTTAAATGACGTAAAATGTGCATATCTGGATCTGTAGTGTGACTGGCGATAACCTAAGAGCTGAGTCCCACACTCTGGCTCTTTCCCCACCAAGAGAGCAAGTTAATTCCAAATTGTCACTTTATCTACTTCCTGTCAGTTAATGAATTGCAATTTAGGGGAGAAGTTACCTAGATCATTTCTGTCTTCCTACACTTCCTTCTTCCTTACAGGCTCACTACACCCTCTTTATTTCCTGTGTTTCCGTCCCACATCTGACTACACCCAGCTAATTGACAGTGACTTCATCTTTGTCCTGAGCTTCATAATTCCACCGGGGCACTTGTCTCCCTCGCTGTCTCAGTCGGGAAAATCAAAGACGTAAATTGCCTCTTTCGTTTTGCACTAGGTAGAGCAGACTCCTCATTAAGACAGTTTCCTTATTCTTGGATTTATAATTAGGTAAAGCACAGTCCTGCTTTGATGTCTGTCATTAATGAGCCACTTAAAATAATTTGAATGGAGATGAGAGAGCGAATTAGGCAGCAAAAGAGTCCTATAACAAAGAGCACATCAGTTCTACTGGAATTATTTTTTTCTTCTTTTTTTTTAAGTTTTAAAAGCAAGTTAACCCTGTAATGCCAAATGTATCATATTTGATACATACGGTTTCTGAAATGTTTTGCGTCTGACACATTTTGCATTATTTAATGGTAAAAACTCCTATTCTACACAATCAGATACACCTAATAACAGGGGGCAGAAGACTACACAAAACATAATCTTGACTTATCGCATAGTAATAAACTATTAATATTAAAAGTTTATTTTTCTTTTTTCTTTTTACATATTTTGTTGAAAGGCCAAATAAAGACTTAAAACAAAAAAAAAAGTAATTCTCTGTTTTGTTTTATTCTTGGATCAGGCTTTAAAGGGTTAAAGCCTGTCCGCCACTTGGAGAGATTGGAGAGAGGGGTTAAAGCAGGAACCAGGACCTTTCTGGGTGGAGTTTGCATGTTCTCCCTGTGTCTGCGTGGGTTCTCTCCGGGTTCTCCGGCTTCCTCCCACAGTCCAAAAACATGCATGTTAGGCTGATTGGAGATTGGGGAAATTGCCCTTAGGAGTGCATGTGAGTGGTTGTTTGTTCTGTATGTCCTGTGTGTGGCCCTGCGATGGACTGTCCAGGGTGTACCCTGCCTCTCGCCCGTTGACCACTGGGATAGGCTCCAGTTCCCCCCGCTACCCCAACAGTGAATAAGCAGTATTGATAATGGATGGATGGATGGATGGATGACTCCGTTAAATGAAATGGTTCCACAGAGCTTACAGAGGGCCCTCCATGAAGCCTTCCATCCCATTTTGGTTTATTTATAATCCTATCATCATGTCCTTCATGTCATCACATCACATCTGTTGTTTGTTTTCCTTTTTGGGATTCTTTTTTTTTGTTGATTTATTTTTCCTTTTCATGATTCTAATACTTCTTTACATACTGTCTGTATCATTCATCGCTTAACAATTTATCTGAAACGTTAAGTTTATTTTATTAATCAAATCCCATATTTGTGTCTTCATCAGTCTATGTTTTTACGTTTTTTAGCTTTGCACTTCTCCATCATGTTTACTCTATTAATTAGCGTCTCCAGTCTTTTCATTTCCCACTTGTTGATTTTTTCTCCATCATTTCGGTTTATTTATCCGTTTGCCTATTTACCTTTATTTACAGTGATGTTTTCTATTCTCTTTCAACCTTTCTGTGTGACTTTAAACTTAGTTTTACTCTATTATCATCTGTTATTTGTCATATGTAATTCTTTTCATGTGTCATCCGAAATCACAAAACGGCCTTTCTGGAAAGCTGTGCCATCTAAGTTTGGTTAATTCATGCTTAGCATCCATTATTTATTTGGTTCTTACCGATTTGAAGGGGCCCTGCAGATGGAACGTACCCCCTTAGCATGTATGATTAATAACTCAATTAGATTAATTAGGGAAACTGTGTTGAAAACTTTTTTGAGGTCACTTTAACTAAAATGTTTTTAATCAATTGAATTTCAGGGCTTACTTTTGATCTTTCAAATAATTTTTTGCATATTTGGAGGGTTTATAACAGGGTATTCAGGGGTAAAATGATTTAAAACCAAAACCGCATATTCATGTGATATATTGACAGGTCTAATGCACATATTTTCCACTGAACCTATCCCCCTTTTAGCACCTCGTTCCAGAGTTTGGCGTATGGGGGGGGGGGTGTTTGCGGGGAGCTTATCTGGGTTGAGGACTTAGTCCTCATGAATAGTCATCACAAGCTCTCAGCCTTTGGGATGGCGAGGCAGATAGAGCTGTTCTGTTTGTTTACCAGAGATTCTGAAGCCATTTGCCTCTGAACGCGCTGTGGTATGAAAAGCAGGACGAAAAAGCAGGGGATGGAGGGGCCAGCTGATGCAAGTCGGCCTCAAATAAGCGATCTGGGCTCAGACACCAGCAGAGCGCAATCACACAAGGGCACGGAGGAAAAAATAAACATCGCTTTAAAGCTCCCTTGTAATAGAAGCAAGGTCAAGAGCTGCCGGTGGGTGGATACGGATTGTGTTGGAAGATTTTATTTATATTTATTTACTTTCATTCACCCAAACTCAAAGACAACATATTCATGGGTATTCAATTATTCATGTCGAGGGACCTTCTCCGAGCCCTCTCGCATCTCCTTCAACAAGTTTAACAAGACCTCAGCAGAATTGCCGAGGGAATGTTTGTTTACATGGATCCGATATGGAGGGAGAAAATAGCCGGAGTCGGATGAATGTCTCAGAGTGCCGGCCGCCAGCAGGGGGCATTCAGACACCGGTCTAACCCAAAGGCTTGGCTGGGGAAGAATGAATGCATGCAACACACAACAAAACCTGCAGGGAAAGTAAGTGACACCCAAAGAGCAGCCCCGCTTCTAAAAAGGAAGACTTTCCTCCGGGTTTTTTTCTATTTCTTTCCTTTTGTTATCTTCTCTGAGAGGCAGCGGGTTAGGGTTACGGTCCTGCTGAGAGCTCCACGCACTCACAAAGGAAAAAAGAGATTGGACATACAACTCGGTGTCACGACAACCCAGAGTAACATAGACATAGAAATAGACAGAGACATAGACAGAACTTTATTGATCCCTTGGGAAGACTTCCTTAGGAAATTAAGGTACTCCCTCAGGAAATTAAGGTAACTCACATGGAACTCCTCCTGTGGGACTTCTTAGTGCAACAAAAACGTGAAGGGGAAAGAATAAGTCTTCTCAAGCACACTTTTCTCCATCGTCATACCGGGTAATGAGTATTTCTTTTTACATCCAGGAAAAAAAGCAAATACGTGCAGTGATTTGTGAGATCGAGTGCAAAGACAATAGAAATTTAGTGTATGAAACAAAAACAGAGGATACGCACACCTAATGAGCTTGAAAGCCAACATTTGGTGGATCTTCGTCCATCAACACAGCACGAAGCCTCTTAAACAAGCTTTTCTTCTTGGTTCTGAAACTAATATTAAGGCATAGACGCCACCAGGCTATTTGCAGAATATCCCAAAGCTCTCTTTTTAATGTTGGCTGCCTCTTGATCCATTCTCTTCTAAAATGACCCCACACCGCTTCCATAAGTTTCTGAGGCTCCCGGGAGGATTAATCCAACCATAAAACTAATTTCCACAGATTTTATGGACAATTCTCGTGTCGCTTGGCACAACGGAGGTTGTTTCCCCATTCGTTCAGGATGGATTCTTGACAGCCATCTTGCCATGGGGAGCGTTTCTGATGAGGCTTCAGTAAGCAGGAGAAGCGTCAGATGAAGATCCAGATGTTTCCCCCCCCAGGTAATGCCTTCACTGAATGTTGGATCAAGCCTCAGTTTTGATTAGAGCAACAACATCTCTTCAGGTTCAAAGTAGAATTTAAAAAATCTGACCTCTCATATTAACCTTTTCATGACTGAGCAGTATCATATTTCAAAGACTTCATAATGAGATATATTTCACTCTCCAACTGGACCAGATTGGCCGGGGAACTCCCATGACACACTTTTCCAAACTCTGCTCTCCTTGGTTTCTATCTTTGTGTGACATCATTGTTGCCTTTAGCTTGTGTTTGTCCTTCTCCTTATCTTCAGGTAATGCTATGGTGTTATTTGTGCCTCTATCCTGACCTATGGTGGTTCCGCCAGTGGTTTAATTTCTGTTAAAGGTGTCTGTTCTCTCCACAGGAACATTATACACGCTCAGGACAAGGTGTTGCTTCAAAGTGACAGTTTGGAGAAATGAGTTCCTTAAGCCAGGCAACTTTCTTTTTATTAACTCTGTGGGACACTGACTGATATGGAAATAATTTGATTGGATTATAACTGTATTACAATGAATTCTTCTCTACTTGGCTCACATTTAAAGTGTCTGAGGAGGACGTGTTGGGATTTGGCTCTGTATAAACAGAGCTGAAATGGATGTAATGTAATTTTTCACCTACTACTTAACTGAATCACTTTCAGATTCTGCTCATCTGCTATTGATGTTTTTTGACACTCGTCCAATTTCCTATGAAGGACTCGCTGAGCACTGTGCTGTAATATGCCAGTTAATTGGGAGTCTGTATCAATCTGTATTACACGTTTTTTTTTAAAGATTCCACTAAATAAACATGAATCTTTGAGAATAGCTTTTTTCTTTTAAGGTCTTTGAGTTTCTTTTAAAAATGGAACAACAACAGCAAATAAGTAAATAAATAAACAGTTTTCTGATGATTTTTTCTTTTGTAGAAGCGCTAAAATTGAGAAACACAGAAGCTAAAGCACAACTTGAATGACCCTCAGAGTTGTTACTCCAGAGCTTACAATTAGAAACAAAGCAGAAACAGAAAGAATTGAGGGCTAGTTCAAGATTGTAACTCGAGCAAAACAGCCTTTATCTTTCAAGAGAAATGCAAATTGGAACATTAAAATTAAGAAACTCGCTCTCGGTTGAATAGATGGTACTTTTTTTGTCAATTTCCAACACTTCTATGATGTCTTAATGCTTCATAGTTGTAAATAAACTAAAATTGGGCACACAGAGCAGTGGTTCTTCCCTTGTGACTCAGTCCCCTTCTTATTTCAGGAGAACATAGTGATAACTAACCCTAACCCTAACCCATTCCTTGATATATTTTTTGCAAAATTAGCTATTATTCCTACAGACAAGCACGCTGTATACACAAAAACCTACACAGACTGCTTTAGTCCCTCTCCAACTTTTCTGTCTTTCTTCTTTCCCACGTCTCTTTTGACTATAGTTAAGAATTTTCCTTTTTTCAGAAACAAATCTGAGACCTGTCCCAGTTGGCGTTGTTACAGTAGCGCACAGTAGCTGTGTTTAAAGCTGTGTTTAAAATGATAACCAAAGGGGTGTGTGTGTGTGTGTGTGTGTGTGTGTGTGTGTGTGTGTGTGTATGTGTGTGTAGGGGGGTGGGCAGAGTCTGATTGAGTGGGAGTTGTGGGGCGGGAATTCCTGGTTGAAATTGTGGCCGGCCTCTCTGGGGAAATCTGACAAATGAAAATGTGAGGTGAGAATTCCCAAAGCAAAAATAAACTCTAAGTTCTGACAGAATAAAACCGGCTTCAGAGAGATCTGCTGCTGCCTCGAATAGATGTTCAATTCTGTACTACATTTTTTTTTTGTGCTTAAATGTGCTTTTGTCTTACTTAGTTGCTGTTAGTCGTGAATACCACTTTGGTTGATGTCTGCTTTACCACAGTGAGCAATGGAACATTGGGATTCTTAAGTCTGGAGTGGGCTTGTGGAGGCAAGAATCATTTATATAAAGTGCAGTCTGATGTCATCTAAAAGGCACGAGTGATTGGAGCTGTGCCGAAAAGCCTAAAAGAGAGGAGCTCTTGCCGTGGGCTCACCATAAAGACACTTAAAAACTTAAAAAGACTGCAAACGGGACTACATGACGGTAATATGTATGCAAAATGATTTCAATGTATGCAAAATGTTAAATACTAATACTATTATATATATTCGGAAAATGTCCATGTAGGCAAAACCTCCATCATGCTGTTTAATACAAGAATAACCACGTCATCTGCTTTCTAAGTCTATAAGCTGACAGCTGATACAGGATTTTGTATCAAATGCTAATTCTTTTGTGACAGGAAACAAATTTGGGAAGATTCTAAACTGAGCTGAGTTGTGGAAATTGAGTAAAAGCTTAACTTATCGGCGTGTCTGATCAGTTTGGCTCCTTTCTTACACAACCTACACAACGTTTATATATATGCCATGCAATAGTCAAAATGTATCTATCTTCAAATATGAGATAAAAAACAGTGTGTTATAAATACATTTTTGGTTTTGGCTAAAGTGGTACCCTGAAAAGTCCTGCTGCCATTAGAGAACATACACGTACCTTTAAGGGTCTCTAAAAGTACAAATAGGCTATGTGTTTTGGGGTCCAGTTAGTAGCCATAAGGGGCATCTAAGTCCAGAAAGTATCCTAGGAGAAATAAATATACTCCCCCATATTCATGACACTGAAAGAGCCTCAAGCCAATAGTTTGGCTTCAGGAGACAGAGTCGCGATCTAATTTAAAGATTAGACTAAAACTTTCATTTTTGATTAAGCTTATGATTAGCACTTGCTTCTGTGATCTGTCTTTAGTTAAGCTGGTACGGGCTGTTCAGGGACCTCCCACCAGTTCGCCTCTTACTGGCGCCTCCTCCGCTGTCTTTAGGAAAGTTTGCAGTTATCCCATGCGTCTATTAACTCAGCGTTTGTGGCCCATTGCCCTCTCTCCCTTTAGCTTTTCTTTGGTATTTTGATGTGCTGCTTTTTACCTGACCAGTCTGCTCAGATGTCTCTGTGCTGTTTCTCACATCTCCCCATTCCTTATCTCAACCGACCTGCTCTCATGGCCGAACACGATGTAGCTTAAGTGGCAGAGAAATTGCTGGGGTCTTTTAGACCTGGACTAGGAAACAATTTACATGATTCTGCATGCCCGTATTGAATGTTTACATGCATCTTCTCACGTGCTGACATCCACTTTTCACGCCTTATTAATGTGTTATTAATGTGTTATTAATGTGTTATTGACCTGTTATTTACCTGTTATTTACATCTTAAAGTGTTTATTTTAGGATTCATGTTTATATGCATCTTGTCACGTGCTGACATCCACTTTTCATTATCAAAGTGTTATTAACGTGTTATTAATGTGTTATTAATGTGATATTAATGTGTTATTAACTTGTTATTAACCTGTTATTTAGGATTCAGAAAACACTGAAGGCACTATTCTTATATTAAAAAAAATGTTCTGTTGTCTATCACATTTTTTCTCCTCTCCGTCATTATAGTGCTTGACTGTGGTGGTGGTTTATAAGTCTAAGGTCGGGCTGTACAGGCTTTTGCGGAGGCCGACTGGCTCCTGCTCCTGCGTGTGTTTTCACATCACAGTTCATCCGCACTCCTTCCCTAACGAGCAGCAGGAGCAACCAGCCTCCTCCAGGTTGTCTTACTACTCCAAACAAACAGAATGTCTTTGCCATACTCTATGACATTTGGCTTCCTAAAGAAAAAGTCCCTAAAATGAAATGAGTTTTAAATGTGTAAATGAACTGAACTTAACAGATGATTATCTGGCGCTGTCTCCACAAAAATCCTCAATTACCGACCTCTATTAACCGCGCAATGCGGATAATAAGAGGACGTATAATTATGGATTTCTTTCAAACGGGCTAATGCAGCTACAGTCGGCGCTGTCTCTCATTAATCCGTCATCCTTGAAGGCTTACGCCTGAAAAATGAAACGGGAAAGTAACAGAACTGGTGCACGTGCTTCATGGGAATGCAGACTGAGGACCCGATGCTCCACCATTCAATTGGGTCAACAAAAAAGGTTCAGTGTGAACTGAAAGAAAAAAAGCTTCTACAATTAACACGAGAAAATGACATGATAAAACTGATCTGTATTCTGGTCAATTGTTCGTCCATAATCAACACATTCAGAGGGCTTCATGGTGCCATCCAGGAGCCTACTCCTGTCTTCTTAAGTATGCAACACATGGTAACGACTTCACTCTGATTTGTATCACTGCTTATATAAAGCGCTATCCCCTATTAAACATTTATACCAACACTAGCCTCGAAAGAGAAAACAGTGGGACGGGGGAATTTATTGCGAGGGAAGAGGTTAAAGAGGGTTTTCTGGGTGAGGAAGTATTAGCGTGGCCCACTCCGTGTAAGTCTCTATGCATGGGTGCGTTGACAAGCCGGATCCTCATGAACATCCATCCGGTACATGCGTGCATCTTCATGCACGAGCGGTGCCAAGAGACACAGAAGCATTCAATCCACCGGCCGGGGTGAGTTATCAACCTCCCCTGCTTTTAATCTGGGATGACAGAGTGTGACCGGGCCCCGTGTGGTCCCAAATGGACGGTCACACCTTTTTAGACCGGCTGAGAAATGAAATGCTAAAGGGGGAGAGTGTCGCTGAGTGTCGCTGTGTGCGACTGCGTGCGCGGTTAATTATCTGTGTCTAATTGGAATTCCGATATTCACTCGATCAAAGTGGTTAACTCCATTAAAAGTGAGTTTTTTAAAAAGTCATCTGAAGAGGCGAAATGATTCATTTTGAATGCTTCATGACAATGGTTGGACCCTACAAGGATACGCAATATATATGAGTATACGTGCGTAGTGGCTTATGTGTATATATTAGCACTTCAAAGTGTGTCAAGATGCCTGAGATAATTACTTTTCAGGAGTTCAGGGGGGGTTAATCATCAGGTCCCTCATTACTGGGGTGGAACATCCCATTAAAATGTGTTGGATGTGTGCTTTTCACAGGTCCAGACAGTATCTTTATACCTACATCATATAGCAGGGTCAGTCAGTAGCCTCTGGCTTCAGTCTGTAGGTAGACGCCATGGTTGGATATCCAACTCCTCCCACATCCAAGTCGGCCATTTTGTTTAGGTCATATGACTATTAGCTTTCTCAGGTGGAAACGAAACTTTACTGTCTATAAGAAATCAGAAAACAAACGATGTCCTAACCCTGACCCTAACCCTGACGCTAACCCTAAACCTAACCCTAACCCTGACCCTGACCCTAACCCTGACCCTAACCCTAACTCTGACCCT